CAGGGGAGGGTTATCAACTGGCCTAATTTCAATATTGCTGTGTCCAGGGAATACGGAGGCCAGAGGAGAAGGAGAGAAGGAAGGACAGGTTGGTGGAGCAGGCAGAACACACACAACATAAATTATTTAAGCTCACCATTTTATATGGGCCCTGTTCTGGCACCCCAACACAGTTAAAATAGTAATGTCAAAGATCACTCATCACAGATTGTCATAACGTGTAATAGTAATAATAATAAAGCTTGAAAATGGTAAAGGTGACACAGACATGAAATGAGCAAATGCTGTTGGAAAAATGGTGCCGGTAGACTTGCTCAATGCAGGGCTGCTGCCAACCTTCAATTTGTATATTAAAAAAAAAAAAAGGCAGTATTCAGAAATGTAATAAAATGAGACATGTCTGTACTCCAGCTCTCCTACTTTTTGGAGAAAAAAATGAGCCAAATAGCTTCTTACTCTCCCCCTTACTCGTATTCCACTGATCTGATATGGAGCACTTTTCAGGCAAGGCAGAGATGTGTTTTGAGAAGGGAGAAACTAGTTTTGAAAACAAATGGTTAAGCAGGTTTCTATGATGCAGAACCTCTTAGAATTCTACAAGAGTCAAGGAATTGCAAAATTATAAGAAACGGATAGTCATCATTTTCTCTCACTATAATCACTAAAATTTGTTTTTGGCTCAGCCTATGTTCTTCTTCACAAACTTTTCTTGACATATAGACAGAAGGCAAAGGTGAAAGTTTATAAGTATCAAAACATGTGTGATTTGGAAATGTGGGTCCATTAGTAGGAACCACATTGCCTAGAACTCTACAAATAATTCTTGAAAGACAAAAGTCAGGAGGGATCTAAAAGAAAATCCAGTCTGAACCAGTATTTTCTCCTCCCAGCAGCTAAATTTTGGGAAGCTCCTACTGCCTTGACTTGATGTCATCTAAAGAAAAAGAACATTTACTATGAAGGTATGTTATATTTATGTTCTGTTGCTCAAACAAAAAACAAAACCTTAGGCAAACAAGATGGCCCTATCTCCATCAGAGGAGAGGATAAGGTAAGACACATTGATTAGAAACATCTAGAACACAGAGCAAGAGAAAACTTAAAACTCACCCAATTTGATGCTTTTTTCTTCATGTTCCTATTATGTATGGCTTTCTTGACACTAGCCTCCCAACACAGAGGTTCTCAAATCATGAACTCGTGGAAGCCTGGTGTTGTACATAATGGGACTGCTCATGAGGCCCAGCAAGAGTGAACTCTGTTGGTTGGTTCTTAGATTTCAGGGGTCAACAGACTTCTCTTGTACAGAGTCACATAGCAGATATTTTAAGCCTGTGGGCTATATCATCTCCATCACATCTGTTCAACTCTGCCATTGTAGCGTGAACGCAACCATGTACCCATGATCAGGTGTGGCTGTATTTCAGGAAAATTTTTTACTAAAACAGATGGAGACTGGATTTGGCCCACCAGCCATGGTTTGCCAACCCCTGTTCTGTAGGAGAGCTTGAAAAGAGCTGATGATACTGAAATCTACAGAGAAGAGCTAATGATACTTAAGTCTACAGTTTCTTATTTCTGGAAAGATGCTGGAGACCAGTTGATGCGTGTATGAAAATACACGGCAGGAACATTACTTTCTCCCCTCCACAGGGAAGGCATTAGTAACTGGTGACGGTGAAGGCTGGCCCAATGGGAAATAATCCATCTTTTTCAACAGTGTTCTAGAAATTCAGTTGCTTGCCATCTTTTATATAGTATGTTACCATTTGGGGTATAGTATATAAATTTAAATTGCTTTGAAGTATGCTATCTAAAGTTAAACTTCTGTAATATTTCATTTCAATATGCGTGCTATGAGATCTATCTCAAAGCATTTGACAAAGAGCACTTCCATGTCTACCACTAGCTGAACTTGCTTTGAGAATTACGCTCTTAAAATGCTGATTATTCCATGTCCTAGCTAGCTTACTGGGTTCTAAAACCAGCTTTGCTCTTAAAGCCTTTCTCTAAAATGAAAGTACTAATTGCTCCTGCCACTGAAGAGACTAAATCCAGTTTTCTCTCATCTGGTCTGGCCAGCAGGCCACAAGTCTGTCCATACCACCCACACTCAGGTTCTAGTTGTCATTGCCCTCTGTAACACGAGAGGTGTGTGCAGCTGGAAGAGGACACACGAGTTGGCTTAGCCCTGGGCTGAACGTGAAGGTGAGAGCCTCAAGGCAGGTGCTGTGAAGTGGGGCCCTGAAGTCTGGAAGGATCTGGGGGACAGGAAGACCCCAAATATATAGGGCAGACTATCTCAACCACCTAATTCTGGCCCCTGCATTACTCACAGTTGGTCAAAGTCCTTGGGGTCCTCAATCTTCTCTCTGAATTTCTTCTGAAAGATTGGCTTGTCCTGTGGCCACTCATGTGTCAAAGTAGGGTAGGTGGGCTCCTTGCTGTTCCAGGCGATGATTCCTGTTCTAAAGCCCTCAGCTCCTTTGAAGTCATGTCACCAACTAAACTCCCTGCTGACTACCTTGTTATAGTTAGCAACAGTTCTGAGCCCCGCTGCCACATTCCTTGAAGCAATTTTAGCACCTGGATCCCCTGCCATTATTCTTCGTGGATCATTACTCTGGTCTCTCAGTTGGCCTCATCATTTTCAATGTGTTTTTTCCTTTGCTTCCTTGGCCACATGATAAGACTTGCCACGACCCTAATTATACCTGTTGAACAAGTACTGTTCTAATGCTACCTCCTATCTTCTTAGTTCACTCTTTACTATCTTGATTCTATCAATTCTTCAAATCCATTATTCTGTCTACTTTTCTTCACACATTATTTCCCTCCTTATCTACCTGAGGTTTAGTGGCCCATCATTACAGTCACACCTTAAGTATCTCTCTCCTTCCATTGTACTCAACTCTCTTAGATGCGTATTTTACACTTTTCTTTCTCACTCTTCTTATTTTATGAGAAAATAGAAGCAACAAGAAGAAACCATCTATGGCTACCAACACAATGGATCCATAGCTATTTACTCTTCTCTCCTTCCTTTGATGGATGAATTGTCCATCTTCCCATGTACGGCCTACAACACCTGCCTCGAGGCAATTGCTTCCCCCAAGGAGTCAACTGCTTGAATTCTTTCTCTCCTGGCTTATTCCCCTCAGCATAAATGATGCTGTGATAACTTCCTTATGCCTGTATCCATAACTTCCTTATGCCTGTATCCCATTGCTGCTACCACCCCATTTCGCTGTTGCCCCTTAGACTAAAATTTCTTGGAAGAGCTACCTGTACTCATTACACTCACATCTCCTATTTACAGTCTCTCTCAAAACCCACTCCAATCAGACCTTCATTAATGCCATTCACCTACACCTATCTCATTACTAAATCCAATGGCCAATTTTCAATCCTTTCCTACTTGATTCAGCAACAGCATTTGGTAGTTGGTGATTTCTCCTCCTTGAAATAGTCTCTTTACTTGGCTCCTAGAACATCCTTCTCACTTTTCCTCTTCCCAACCTGTAAACACTGAGTTCCCAGGGCATGGTCCTGACCGCTTCTTTTCTCTAAGCTAAGGTATACCCAAACTCAAACTGAGCTGTCTACTTGCAATTTCTGGGTGTTTACTTGGCTCTACATGTCCCAAAATAAATTGTGATTTCCTCATCTACATAAAATGGCACCACCATTTTCCCAATTGCTCAGGATAAAAACCTTGGAATGATCCCTGGTGCTTCTTTTCCTCTTACATCACATATCCAATTTGTTAAGTCCTGTTGATTTTACCATGAAAATATATTAAGAATCTGGTCACCCCCATTGCTCACACCCTCATCTAAGCTACTATCAGCGTTTGCCAGAATGTTGCAATAACTTGTTAACTGTCCTATCTCCTTCCATCTCCCCCTATAGTCTCTCCTCCGCAGCACAATCAGAATGTTAGTGATGAAAATGTTCTGAAATTGGAGTGGTTGAGGGTTCCACAACTTTGGTAGACTTTGAAAGGGTGAATATTACAGTATCTGAATTCTGTCTCAAGAAAAAATATGTAAGTTAAATCCCTCTATCTAAAATTTTCACACCTCTTTTAATCTAAACCAAAATTATCTTTAAAAAAGACCAGTTTATCCCTGCCTCTTTATCTTTGCTTCTATTGTGCTCGTACCTGAAATGAGCTTCTTCAAATCCTTTCTACCTCAAAGTCTAGTCTTCCATCTTCTAAAAAAGGCCATTGTATTCTAAACACTGCCTTCTCCTTTGTTCCCTTTGTCCATCAATCTACCAACCATTTAGCCAATGCTTACGCTAACAACCTGTACAGTCTTAACTCTTCTTCCCTCCACATTGATTTGGCAAGTGCACCTCATAGACTCTCCTCCCTCTATCTGCATGCCACCATTCCAGCGCCAATTGCCATCATCTCCTCCTGTCATTTCCAGTGTAAAACCTTTTAATGGTTTTCCATTGTACTCACGCTGAAGACAAAATAACGAAATCTTCTTTACCAGGGCCTACATTTCCAGACTCTTCTTTCTGCCCATGTTCTATATTTAATATACAAATAACTCCTTTCTGAACACAGCATCTATGAACACACTATCCTTCTGGCTAGTTCAATCAAGGGTCAGCCTTTGGGTCTCTTCTCACCAGGCTGACCCTCCTTGTCTGTGCTCCCAAGCACCCAGTACCATCTCTAGCCTCACTGCCTACTCAATCCCCTATTCATCATCAGGCTTCTCTACCAGTCATCAGCTCTAGGAGAGCAGGACCATGTCTGTCTTGTGTACCTTTCTATCTACAGTATCCATCCCACATTAAATGCTCAGTAGATACAGCTTAAATGGAATTCAAGCTCCTCCTTATGTACCCTTGTCTAATATCCTATGGCCCTTATAAACTATACCATTTTATTGAATATATATGATATGATGATGTACGGTCTCTTACTCTTGTGCACTGTAAGCCTTTGTGGCAGAAGCTGATGTGGAGGCCCACAAAGGAAGTGCCTTATGTACCTATGGGTGGGTGGGGGTCCATACCTGGTAAGTCTCAATAGGGCGGTTTTCCATGTTGAGATCCCAAACTTTAACGGTCAGATAGTCTCTGGTCATGATATACCTCCCACTGTGGCTGAACTTCACATCCGAAATCGAAGAGATAATTTCAGAGAAAAATGACCTGTTGCTTGGATCTTCAGGCTCTTCAAAAACTGCAGAACAGAAGCAAAAATGAGAGAAAATAAGTACATCCTTATCAACTAACCCTACCACATTTGGGCCAGCTAGAAAGCCAACAGTCTAACTTGGAGTAGAATCTGCAGGATGTAAGTACGTTACCAATCAAGAACCTGGAAGCAGAAAAAGCAGTCACTGGTTTCTGTATTTTCTTTCTCATGGAAGGACTTGCATGGGACCTGTACCATCCAGAGATCTGGCACAGAGCCTTGCCAAGCTCCGAGGTGATGTATCTATTTCACAATTCCCCTGGTCTTTGTGTGTCACTGCTCCTATCAACACCAGGAGCATCTGAGATGCTTAAAAAATGTGTTTATAGCTTTCTTGAGATATAAAATTACATACAATAAAATCTGCTCATTTGAAGTTTACAGTTCATTGGTTTTTTTTCAGTATAATCACATAATTGTATAAGCATTGCCACAGTCTAAATTTCAAACTATTTCATCAACTGGCCCCCTGCCCCCAAATTCTATACCCATTTGTAGTTACTCCTCATTCCCTACTCCTGCAGCCCTAGGAAATGACTGTTTTTTTGTTCTATGAAATTGCCTAATCTGGATATTTCCCCTAAATGGAATTATATGAGATAGAGTTTTTCTGTGACTGGCTGCTTTCCCTCAGTACTATCTCCATGGTTCATCCATCCTGTAGTATATATCAGCACTTCATTCCTTTTTATGGTTGAATAATAACCCATTGTATGGATATATCACATTTGGTGTATCGCTTAAACACTTGATAAACGCCTGGGTTTCTACTTTGTGGCTACTACAAATAATGCTGCTATGAATATTCATGGTCAAGCTTGATTTTCATATCTCTAGGTCACAGTTTTTAATAGTGGCACTTGGCTGAGCCTCAGTCATGTCCTTTGTATATATTGTCCATTTGTTCTGATATCCAGGCACTTATTACTTCTCAGTAGCTTCATCTGATTTCCACTTAAAGGAATGAATGCAAACCTCCTCAGCTGGACAGCAAATCCCATCAGAAGCTGGTGTACTATATCTACCTTGATTTTGAACTTCTCTGGTTCAAACTGAATGTATAGAATATAGCTTTGGTATATCTTGACCTTTCCCATTTGTATGCCTGATTGTTCTGCCTTCATTGACTCAAATTCTGAGGGACTCTTAGCCTTAAATGATCATTTTGTGGAAGCCCCCTACACTTGGTCTGGCCCACTTGTTTAATAGGACCTCAGGTACTCTCACATTATGATTTAACAATCCTTGCATTTGTTTTTATCTCAACAGCATTGTCAGCTCCTTTCTGGTTTTCCTTTGTACTGAAAGTCTTGCATACAAATGTTCAATAAACATGTGTTGCTTGATTAGAACCAAAGCTAGATCAGTGAATGAATTCTTTGCCATCTGGGGGCTCAGCATGTCTGATGGGGAGTTATATGCATTTGTCCATACTTACTTTTAACCTATAACAATGGTAATTGTGATACAAACACTTGTTAAGTGGAACCATACTCAATTTTAGGCTAAACAAAACACCAGTCTGCAAGTTAACACATCCTCCAGAGCTTTCTCTTTCCTGCCTGCTCAACACACTCAGAGTCAGTATCTAATTCTATGTAGAAAACCTAAGGCTATAATGAGTTGTCTTTCAAACCTTGCTGAATTAAACTCTGAGCCAAACCAAAATTCTAATTGTTACTTCACCATTTAAGAGAACCACAAAAAACCCTCATCAGTCAGAATTGAACTTGAGAATTAAACCCACCGAAACAGAAAAACCTCTTGGACTTTAATCAAGCATTCAGGAAGTCCCCTGGACTCTGACTGATGTCCTCATAATTGAGAACTAGATTTTCACATTAGTTTCTCTTCTCTTCCAGGGACTCTCATTAGGGCTGGGGACTTACAAACTTCAGGCAAGCCCCATGCAAACAACTCAACAGACAAGTGGGAGCCCTGAGGCATGGTCATCTCCCCCTGATGCACCTGCAGTAAATGGGAAGGGATCAGTTAAAAATCCCAACCGGTCCCTGGAATTGAGCTGGATAGCTCTACCAGAGCACTCTGAACACCCATGAAATTAGCCTGAGATGTAAGCAGACAGACCTGGATCTCCACAAACAGAATACCCCAGGCAGTTGGTTTTGAGGTACGAAGCAGGAAGCTGTGATTCTGTGGGCAGATATCGGAGGATAAACAGCAGCGGGAGGGAGCCTGGCCGTGGGGATCCTACACCACCAGTGAGCGACAGCCTTCCGCATTGGGGATGGGGCACAGACTTGCAGACCGGTAGCGATGGGGAAAGGACTTTAGGGCAGCCCCCGGATGGAAACCCAGAGTGGCGGGGCAGCATGTGCGAACTGGGGGGTGGCTGGCGGTTTTAGAAGCACAAAGGGCAGAGACGAGCCCCTACCTAGAGGCGAGGACTGGGAGTGCTGCGGAGGGGCGCACAACCCAGGACGCTGCAGTTTATAGCAGCACGGACAGAAACAGATAGTGTGGCCTGGAGAGCTCACTGAAGAACAGACTGATCTCTCTGCTCTGAGGCAGAGGGTTGGAAACGGTCTCTCTCTTGGGCTCTGACTCTAGGAAGAGATGCGGAAAGCCACCAGAGAATAAAAGCCCCCCCAAAGACTGATTCCCACTGAGCCCATCCCCCACCATAGGGGGCAGAGCAACTCTGCCCAAACAGGGTTGCCTGAGTAACAGCGAGGCAGGCCCCTGCCCCAGAAGACAGCCTGGGAGAACAAGAGGCCAGCAACCCTAAGGTCCCTAGAAAACAGGGTGCATCTTGCTTCGGTTGTGGTCAATAATTTGGACTCTATACATTCCCTCAACCACCCCTCAACAGAATGACTAGGAGGAGGAACCCCCA